AGCACATTTCTTGTGAATATTTCCCTATTACAATATCTTTTTAAGTAGCTCTCATGGCCTTGCATCCTACTGTTTCAGTAGATTTCTTATATTTCTGCATTAATGTATTAGATGCTATATTCAATAATATAATCCTTTCCTAACACATTACTTTCAGTTATATATTTTATGAGACAACTACAATGATTTGCTCACAAATGGGTGTGATACGATATACTGATATATGAGCAAATCAGAGATACTCTTGTGACAAAACTTGATAGTGTAGAGTTTTATAATCAACTTATTTACATTTACTAAATATCTGAATGAAACTTGTCGATACAGTGTTGCGTTTTCCAGAAATAAAAGCATAGTATATATACATATATATATATATTATCTAGAATCCATACGGTCTCTTAGTCTATAAATACCAGTTTAGAATATTTCCTTTCCTACGTTGGTTGAATACAATACAATATTATTACAAAAATAATTAATTATACTGTGAATTTGCATCAAATTATTTTCTCAGGAGTAATAGTAAATTACACAACAAATAATTTACTGATTGCATATATTTATTGATATAAAGAGCACAGCATTAATTAAAGACACGGTATTGCATACAATTTGAATTTTTAAATCACATTTTGGTGTTTTTTTTTCTGACTTTTCAGCAAGATTCTTCTACACACTACCCATCACCCAGCGATGATTGGCTAGGCGTCTGCGCATGCGCACTACGGCAGAGTCTACGCTCGCTCCGGCTTTCTTATGATGAATATCATCCTGAAGACGGCTTCTAGCCATTCCCATGAGGGCTATGTTCCGGCTGGTTGTCATCAGGGAATGATCAAGAGCTCCTGCACCCTGAAAATACCAAACAATATATCATTGTCATTCATCATAGATAGATAAAAGATGGAAAAGGAATGAAAGGTTAAAGAAAGAAAATATAGTGAAGTAAAAGAAAATATAGACAGGAAATAGGTAATGAAAGAAATATATTTATTTATTAGGTATATTGAAGAATAATTTATCTCCTGACTATATTGCACTTTCACCTGTAAAAGCACATAGGTCTTTAAGTTATGCACTATATAAATTCACAATTATTACTATTATCATTGTAATAATAGGATTTTACTGGTCTACTGTTGAGACAATTCAAAACTTTTTTCTTTTAAAGTGGAATTGTAGTCTGGTGGTTAAAGATTCTTGCTTTTCATTCAATTAGTGTCCTTGGTTCAAATCCTGTAAAATACTATAATTTCTCTAGAGTTCACCACTCACAAAAGTAATCAGCTTTACAAACAGCCACAAACACCCACTCACAAAGGTTCAAACCCACCTCACACAAGAGTAAACAGTTTTATAAACAATCATAAATAACTGTGTATCCAAATACTGTTTACTCTAGTGATCAGTGGTAAAGTTTTGACCTCGCTCTGGGCAGATAGCATAAACAAGCTACTCTTATTGGTTAATGGATTTCTTTTGCATTGGCTAGTAGCACAAGTCTACCGAACACAATGAGGCTTTGACAACTAGAGGCAAAAAGTATCAAACATTACAAATATTTCAAGACCTTGCTGGTGATAGTAAACAACTTTGTAAACGTTTATTAGACATTTCTGAAGTTATTCATTTTGTGTACACCAGACATTCCGCTCCTCCACTGCCAAGCCTTATAATGAGACTTATTTTTCAAACCATCGCATACAGCACCATTATGTCATCTTAAAATTTGTACTGTCACAAGGTTACTAGCTATTGATTAAAAAAATGTTGCAAGAAAAAAAATTGTTATTTATCTTGCACTTAAATAAGATCCTGAATAAATTCGCTTTTAGATCAATTTACAAACCCACCTTAATGATGTCTTGTGCCTCAGGAAGGTTAGTGGCTGGGTGTCGTTGGTAGACTCTAACCAGAGGCCTTGTTAACCGTTCCCTTGTCTCCAAGTCAGACTGAAGTTCTGGACCCACAGTGTAGCCTTTAGCCTTTTCTGTGGCATCATACCACCGTTGTGCTCTGTGAATGGCATGCCTGTTCTCTCCTAGGGCCACTTGAAGATTTTGCTGATAAATATAAACAAGTTACTGTAATATGTTTTGCAATTCAGCACAATGATGCTGTGAGTTATGGGTTATTCTCCTACCTTTACCCTTTTTTGTCTAGAAAAAAAGAGTTTTTGATTAACAGAGTCCAGTGGCGGTGCTAGCAGGGGCTAGGGGGAATTTCCCCCCACATAATTTTCTTTCTCCCCAAAAAGAAGAAAAACCACAATTTGTTGGGGAGAAAAAACAATATGTATTTTCCCCATATTAGTAGTCTATCTATCTATAAAATCGATTAAATAAGCCTCTGAAACCCCTAAATTGTCATTTTTCTGGACAACTTTCAAGACATTTTGAGCGACGCCCGACCATGCCCACTTC